ATTCACTCCTATATAAATTTTCTGTTCCTCCTAACTCTGCCCACTGTACTAGGCATGTAGATATCTGTTTTCATATTCACTGGACCTAATGACTTTACCATCAACTGTAACTCTGATGAACTCGCAGGAATAATTTGTGTCTGCTCTGACTGTATCTCCCCCGCTGCATCCTTAATGGTTGATCTCCGTTCTGTCACTGCTACAGACTTTTCTTGCTTAGGCTCTCCTCGCCAGTTTCTTATTTCTTCCCTCAACTTAGTATAAAGCCCCTCTCAAGGTTAGTCAAATTCCCTTTTCTCTTGACCCTCTCACAGATCCTCTCCATGCCAAATATCATTGGAATCCAAATCCAAATCCAAATCTCTCTTTTTTTGACACACAGCCACAATTTACAGCTCCTCTATTTTCATTTGCTTTTTCAATGCTTCTATAGTTTTCTGGCACCAACTGTGAGAAACGCTTGCGATCTCCTCTTCCTTTTCTGTAGTCAAATCTCAAATTAACTGTTTCATTCCTATCACTTGATGATCTAATTTATCTTTGTCTGGTTTAATCTTTTCCCAATCCATCATTCCTTTCTCCAATTCCCTATTTTGTTTCCCCATTTGTCCTAACTGAGTTTGCATTATCTGTGCCTGCATCACTTCCCGCTCCAAATTTTCCTGGCAAGTTTTAAAATTCTCTTGTAATGTTTGTAATTCTGCCAGGGCCGGCTCCAGGCACCAGGCAACCAAGCTGGTGCTTGGGGCGGCACCTGGAGGGGGGTGGCGCGGCGCTCCGGCCGCCGGGGAGAGCGGGGCCACAGCCGGGCTCGCCGCCCTCCTCCCAGGGCTCCGGCCACCCTCCCCCCGGCGCCCTCCCCCCGGCGCGCGTGTCAAGCACGCGTCATTCATACCAGGCCTCAATGACCTATAAGGTATTACATGGATATATGAACCACAATGTATCTTGATATATATATCTCAACACGAGTGGGGTTACGCAGGGATCAGTTCTGGTTCTGTTCAATATCTTCATCAATGATTTGGATAATGGCATAGAGAGTACACTTATAAGGTGTTGGGATGATACCAAGCTAGGTGGGGATGTAAGTGCTTTGGAGGGTAGGTTTATAATTCAAAATGATCTGGACAAACTGGAGAAACGGTCTGAAGTAAATAGGATGAAATTCAATAAGGACAAATGCAAAGTACTCCACTTAGGAAGGAACAATCAATTGAACACATACAAAATGGGAAATGACTGCCTAGGAAGGAGTACTGCGGAAAGAGATCTGGGGATCATAGTGGACCACAAGCTAAATATGAGTTAACAGTGTAACACTGTTGGAAAAAAGCGAACATCATTCTGGGATGTATTAGCAGGGGTTTTGTAAGAATGACATGAGAAGTAATTTTTCCGCTCTACTCCGTGCTGATTAGGCCTCAACTGGAGTATTGTGTGCAGTTCTGGGCAACACATTTCAGGAAAGATGTGTACAGATTGAGAAATTCCAGAGAAGAACAACAAAAATGATTAAAGGTCTAGAAAACATGACCTATGAGGGGAAATTGAAAAAATGGAGTTTGTTTAGTCTGGAAAAGAGAAGATGGGGTGGGGGGGGCATGTTAACAGTTTTCAACTATATAAAAGGTTGTTACATTGAGGACGGAGAAAAATTGTTCTTCTTAACCTTTCAGGATAGGACAAGAAGCAATGGGCTTAAATTGCAGCTAGGGAGGTTTAGGTTGGACATTAGGAAAAAACTTCCTAACTGTCAAGGTGGTTAAGCACTGGAATAAATTGCCTAGAGATGTTGTAGAATCTCCATCATTGGAGATTTTTAAAAGCAGGTTAGACAAACACCTATGAGGGATGGTCGAGATAATACTGAGTCCTGCCATGAGTGCAAGAGACTGGACTAGCTGACGTCCCAGGGTACCATCCAGTACTATGATTCTATACCATAACTCTCATCAGACCTTACACCCTAATCTCCCCAACTCACTGTTGTCATAATCTGTATCTAAAAGGTGTCAGGTAAGGTACCATATGCAAATGCATAACATGATAGTAATTAATATTATTGTGTGACCTCTGTACGGGAAGTATATAAATAATAGAAGTGTACTGGAAATATGTTCTTAGTTAAATATGTTCCTAGTTAAAAGAATGTTGTTTCACCAGCTAGACACTGTCTTCAGTGTAAATTAAGAAAGCTAAGAGCAACAACAATGACAAGGACAATTACTTGTAAGATAAACAAAGCCATAAGATGAGAAATGGGGGAAGATGACCAGTTAATAATATCAACAGGGAATATAAGCTGCACCTCCAGGAGGCCTTTCTGCCTCTTATAACAGGATAAATGAACATGGGAAAAATATAACTAGAAGCAAAAAGCCATTTGGTTATCGACTACTGGATGGGCACAAGTCCATTCCTGCCAGCAGGTCGAGCAAGGAGCCCAGAGAGGGGAGGAAAGGAGTTGGCCCGAGCCTCCCCCTTCCCCAGCAGGTGTGCCCCTGGTGCGGGCTCAGAGGCGAAAAGCACCTGGAAGTTCATCAGCTGTCGCAAGAAGCATGAAGAGTAGGAGTAGGGACGGGGCGGTAGCTTTCAGCATCATCGCAATTTGGGCAGCTTTCCATTCCCCCTTTCTCTGTAACGGCCCTCCCACTGGTTTCATTGGCGGAGCTGTACAATTCTGGCAGGGTGACCATTTATAAATCATTTCCTTTCTTTTCTTTTTAGATCGGGAGCGTTAGGACGCTTCGGATGCTTCAGTGTGTGTGTTTTCCCATTCGGAGCCATTTGCAAGTTTGGAAGGCTGGCCGAAAGAGGAGTATTTTTCACCAAAGAGTTGGCTTTCTGCACATGTAGGGCCCTTGGAAGCAAAGTTTAGCTAGGTGAATGCGTCTGAATGGGGTTTCTACAGTGCCTCAATAGCCTGTGATCAACTCTCGGTATGCGCGTTTGTCTTCGGCTAGGTCGAGTCCCGTGCCTGCGTCTTCCCTGTGTCCCAGGGATGGCTACTGTGAGGCCAGCAGAATTTGTGAGAAAAAGGGGTAGAGGAGGAAGCACCTCAATCTGACTTAGAGTGATGGTGCCCCTGGGCAGAGTGCTCCTCCTGCTCCTTCCTGTCTGAGGTCTGGGCTCCAGTGTGGGCTTGGGGGGCTGCCTGTGGGCGCTGGGAGGATGGGAACTGCCAAGCTCCCCCTGGGCAGGCCGACTCTGAAGCCTCTCCCCTAGCTTGGGGTGCCGAGTATTAAGCCTTCCTCTGTGGCTTTGGGCTGGAGAGCATGATCGGCCCTCGGGTCCATTTGGGTGGAGATGGCGGCCGGCCGGGAAGAATTCGGGCCATCAGGTCAACCCATTGGGGATAATGGGGGCCAGCCAGCAGCCCTGGGATGTTGCTTCCTGGGCCGCCAGCTCAAGCCTCATCTCCTATGAGCTGGGAAGGCAGCTGGCCACGCTCAGCCTTCTCCTCCCCTCCAAGGGCCCAAGTCCGTTCCCGCCAGCAGATCGAGCAAGGAGCCCAGAGACGGGAGGAAAGGAGTTGGCCGGAGCCTCCCCGTGCCCCAGCAGGGCTCTTGCCTGCTCCCTGCCAGCCGCTCAGCCCATCTGGTTTTCTCACTTTGGCCTCTCCGACCCTAGCAGTCACCAAAAGGGTAAAAGCCACCCTCTCCAGCCAGGACACGGAGTGGCCAGCATGGGACTCGAACCCACGACCTTGGCGTTATTAGCACCACACTCTAACCAGTTGAGCTAGCCGGCCCATGGGCAGCCCTGCCTTGCCTGACCCTTTTGGAAGGAGTCACCGGCTGGCTCAGGGACGGCGTGGCCTCCGGTATGGCATGGTTGGATCAAGCGGCTTGCTGGCAAGCCAGGGGAATTAGCTCAAGTGGTAGAGCGCTCGCTTCGCATGCGAGAGGCAGAGGGATCAATGCCCGCATTCTCCAGGGAGCCACGGTACCTTCGCTTGCCCTGCTTTTAGAAGCCGTTGACAGTCAGCGGGATGAGCTTCTCCAGTGGCCTCCATCCCTCTCCTCGCTTCGCTTGGCCTCCCAAGAAGCCAGGCCTTGCGGAGCAGGAAAGCTCTTCGTCCCCAGCCCTTCTCCCCCTTGCGCTAGCTGGGAGGCCGGAGACAGTTAGCTCAACTGGAAGAGCGCGGGAGAAGTACCGAGATCGATACACATCTTCTCCAGCCTGATCTGCTGTAGTGTGGGACCTGCCCCTTTCTTGCTGAGCTGTCACTAGAGCACGATCCCTTTCCCACTCCCTCCCTGGCTCCCTGCTAGTCTTCACAAAGCTGATTGGCTGGGAGGGAGTGCCACTCAGATACAGACTTACTCACATCCCAGGGGTCCATGAAGGCAATGAGGAGATGGGCGGCGGGGGCAGGTGATACCAGCTCAGCTGACAGCATGAGACCACACAGCCTCCTGATCTCAGCCAGCATGGCAGCCGTGGACCAGAGCACACAGACAGCTTGGAGAAAGCCACAGCGGGGAAGGGCTGCGTTGGTCTGAACAGGGAGTCTGTGGGTGTCTATCCTGGTGGAGGCAGGGTCGTTTTGCTGCATGCTGTGCCAGAGGCCAGGGAGCCCGTGTGAGCCCCGCTAGAGTTCCTGAGCTGGGCCTGCTCCTGGCTTTGCTTGGGTTAGAGGAAAGTGGGCAAGTTAAGAACGGCCCTCCTAGGTGAGACCACTGGGCCATCTAGCCCAGTATCATGTCTTCTGACAGTAGCCGATGCCAGGTGCTTCAGAGGCAATGGCCAGAGCAGGCAAGCATCAAGCGATCTATCCCTGCGTTGTCTTCTGACGTTTGGTGCTCGTTCCAGGGTCTAAGTCTCACCCCCCGACACACTCCAGGGAGGGAGCGTTGGTGTTTGTGCCGAGGCTCGTGGCTGGGACTCGGGCCCCTTCCCCAACTCTGGGTAGCCCCCCATCTCAGGCTGTGGTCTGCTTAAGGCCACAGAGGCCTGGCCTTTTTTGCCTGGTGCCTAGGAGGCAGGCCAGCTATGGGGAATTAGCTCAAACGGTAGAGTGCTCGCTTTGCATGCGAGAGGTAGTGGGGTCGATGCCCACATTCTCCAAGCAATCGACTCAGGGCTCCTGGTGGGCGTGCCAGCTGCCTTTTGGCCTTGCTGTCCGTAGCAGTCAGGCCGAAAATCAAAAGCCATCCTCCCCAGGCCCACAGCCACCCAGGGGCTCCATTAGCACCACACTCTGACCAGCTGAACTAGACAACCCACGGGAAGCTTCTGAAGGTGTGCCCCTGGTGCGGGCTCGGAGGCGAAAAGCACCTGGAAGTTCATCAGCTGTCGCAAGAAGCGTGAAGAGTAGGAGTAGGGACGGGGCGGTAGCTTTCCACATCATCGCAATTTGGGCAGCTTTCCATTCCCCCTTTCTCTGTAACGGCCCTCCCACTGGTTTCATTTGCGGAGCTGTACAATTCTGGCAGGGTGGCCATTTAGAAATCTTTTCCTTTCTTTTCTTTTTAGATCGGGAGCATTAGGACGCTTCGGGTGCTTCAGAGTGCACGGGACTTGGGGGAGCGGCGGGAGAAGTGCCGAGATCGATACACATCTTCTCCAGCCTGATCTGCTGTAGTGTGGGACCTGCCCCACTCCCTCCCTGGCTCCCTGCTAGTCTTCACAAAGCTGATTGGCTGGGAGGGAGTGCCACTCAAATAAAGTATTATTCACATCCTAGGGGTCCATGAAGGGAATGAGTGGATGCTCTCTACAGCTAGATTTGCACACCTTTGGGTGACATTGTTTGGGCGCATTCAGAGCACTGATCTAAAGTCCTGTATCCTGTCACACATTCAAGATCCCCAAGCACTCAAAGAAGGACATGGTCTGTTCACTATTTTGGCTATAGAGAACAGAGACCACAATCTCAGCTCCACCACGTTACGGGGTATGCTCCCCACATTTGCCCCGAAGGGGTTAACATAGGCTTTATGGGCCAAGTAACCTACTGTACTGTAAACCAGTGGATATTTAGGCTGAGAGGAAAGCCTTTATCAAGTGAAGCTCACCTTTCCTGGAAGAGGTGGGAGTTTCTATATATGCAGGAAGGAAGGCTGTAGTCACTCTCCTTGCGACACAAGGTAGAGAAAAGTGTTTGGATCGAAGGGGAAGGGTTTATTTAGCAGACCTAGGAGATAGGGGATTAGCTAGAACGGTGGAGAATATTAGCCTGGGATAGTCAAGTTGGGAAGTAGTGCTGGGGAGTTTCAGAAAGGCCTGTGCTAGTATATACCTTAGCTGATGGATATGGGGCCCCTAGGCTGGAACCCAGTGTAGTGGCCAGGCTTGGGTTCCCCTACCAAATACTGAATGAGTGGCACAATCCAGGCAGTGAACTTGAAGACTGTCCAGGACCATTCATTGAAGTCACTGAGTGACTGGCTCAGCCAGGGCAGCGAAATTAAGGACTGTCTGGGACAGCCTGGAGGATTTTGATAGCACCCCCGGAAGGGGACGACTATTGGGATTTGGCTGGAGGGCTAAGCCATGAAGATAAACCACGAGGAGTAAGAAAAGGACCACAGAGAGAGTGAGATGATGAGCTAAGGAACCGAGCGACGAGGGCATCAAGCTGGCAGAGCTAATCCCCAAACACGGCCAGAGGGAGATGCTCTGGTGGTGAGTAGAGGGGTCTCTGTGACATACTACCATAACAGACTCCTTCCATGTAACTGGAATATCACTTTCTCAGCATCCCAGTACTGAAATGGAGGGAGTTGTCTATGGAATTCCCACCCCAGAGTGCAGCATCAGTGAAGACTATCACTTCCTGAGATTTACACAACTGTCTCTCCATTGATCTTGCAGAAAACCAATGCTCCCATCCCTGACATAATTGTTGAAATCAAGACTGAATGCCAGCTGATTACCCAAGCCCTGCAAGAAGAATGCAGGTGGCTTGAACAAGGAAGGGAAGGAGCAAGTCTGGATACCTACAGTGGGGTTCAAGACATTTCCTAGGCAGCTTACCATATCAGCAAAGAATCAGAGTCAGATTTCACCCCAGCCATCACTGTGCTTCTTCTCTCGTTCCAGATGACTCCAAGTCTGGGGCAATGATTTCTCATGTTATGGATGTGATAAGAAATGCTTTACACCACCTAAGCCCATGCCAAGTGCCCGTGATCACGGTGGATCAGCCCCTTTTCACCAAAACCAAAACAGATACAGCGGCTCTGGCCTGCTGGCTGTGGAGAGGAAAACATTGTCATTGTGCTGGGTGGTCTTCATCTGGCAATGAAAAGTCTAAAGCTGATTGGAGCTTGACTAGAAGATAGTCTCCCCAGGAACAGCTGACGACTACTTGAAATTATTTCATGTCATCCATACAAGGTGTGCCCAGCAGTCTGTAAACCTTGCTCCAGAATTCATACACACAGTATACCCAAGGTGTCAGGGAAGATGAGGTCTCCATGGGGTATGATAAATGCTGTGACAAGAGAAAACTAGAAAACCTAGTGTTCTGCTTCTGGGCATACCACACTTCATCTGGAGCTTCTTGTATTGACTTATTTGTTTTCACTCCACCAAGCAAACTTGGCTCTCTACATTGAATTCCTTGGAAAGCTGTCACCCTGGTTCTGTGTTTGATCGTATGTATTATGCTCATTGTGTGTCGGTTCACCTCCGAGACATGGTAAACCTTCATACAGTGCATCCAGGCAGAGCTAGAGATTTCCTAAAGGGGGACTTCACTGTTTGGAATAGACAGCATGTTTTCTCTGCAATTGCACTTGACCCAGCTCATCCACAAAATAATAACATAATCAAAGGGAACGGTGCATCTGTTGGTCTAACACAAAGTCCAGAGACCCTTCAGTGCTGGATGATAGCAGGACCAGAGGTGGCCAGGTTCACAGGAAAATTTGAAGCAGTAGCAGAGAAAGGAACCACCCAAAAAGGTTCTAACACAAAGCACAATGAGCAGGTGCAAGGTGTCCAGGCTTCATTTGTACAACATATCCAGGCACTTGCTGAGATCATACAACCCCTTCTCAGAAGAGAGTGTAGACTTAGTCAAACTGAACACCAAAGACATTGCAGTCCCCCTTGTCATTGTCTCTGGTAGGGAGGTTGAGAATATAGGGCAGCAGAAGTTACCACATTTGTAACAGAGACTGCAAGAGAAAATTAAGCCATTCACAGAGCCTATCAAGTGAAGTGAATTCCCCTTGTTGAGGCAGACCTCCTGCAAGGGAGATCTCTAAGACCAAATTGCAGCTCTCCCCCTTGAAAAATGACTGCTCCCTCTTCTCAAAAATGTATATAGCTTGCCAAAAACATCATGGCCACCTGGACGATATTTTTCAGCATGAGAATCAGGCATGACCCCCTTCACTGTCTCAGATGAGAAACTATGACTTTGGAAGAAATCTGATCTGCTGTCTATTCTGGAGTGCTATGTTAAACTGCAAGCTACAACTCCAGCAACCGATGTCATATTTTTTGATGGGGCAGCTCTTGCAAACATGTTGAAACCTGTTGCTAGCTATACATTTGACTGTGCTATGAATGTTTTTTTTTCATTCCATACCTCAAGACACAGGTGTGGCTTTATAGAAGGATGGACCTAGCGTAGGATGTTTACATTGCTAACAGTTTCAAGGCCCAAACCATAAATAGGAGAGGAAATGGAGTCCAGGAGTGCCATGCCTTTCATCCCTCTACCACTAAACTGGCAAGAGTTTCTGTGCATCAATGAAAATGAATTCTTCAGCTTCCCTGCAAAATATATTGCAAAGTTGTCAGTAGAAGGCAAAAAGGTAATCTCCACAGGTCATCAAGATGTAAGCTGCAACCCTGAACATAATACTAGCCTTTCCTCATGCAATCATGAGGAAGCAGATACCAGAATGATACTGCATGCTGCTGAAGAATTCAGTCAAGGATGTACTAAAATTCTTATATACGCAGTTGACACAGATGTAGTAATCCTTGCTGTTACATATGTGCAAAAGCTTCAGATCCCTGAACTGTGGATTGAATGTGGGATTGGTCAACACTTAAATATACACCTCTACCCCGATATAACTCGACCCGATATAACACAAATTCGGATATAACGCGGTAAAGCAGTGCTCCGGGGGGGCGGGGCTGCGCACTCCAGTGGATCAAAGCAAGTTAGATATAACGCGGTTTCACCTATAATGTGGTAAGACTTTTTGGCTCCCGAGGACAGCGTTATATCGGGGTAGAGGTGTATATACCTGTTCATGACATAGTTTATTCTCTTGGTCCAAGCAAGTCAAAGCTTTATCAGTGTTTCATGACTATACTGGTTGTGATACAGTGTCTTCCTTTGCTGGAAGAAGAAAGAAAACACTTGGAAGGTGTCAAGGCTGGATCCCCACTTTGAACTTTAGGGTTCAAATGTAGGGGCCTGCATGAAAACTTCTAAGCTTATCTACCAGCTTAGCTTTGGTCCGCTGCCACCATCACAAGAATTCCCTCCCTGGGAAGCCTTGAGAAACCTTTCACCAATTCCCTGGTGAACACAGATCCAAACCCCCTTGGATCTTAAAACAAGGAGAAATTAACCATCCCCCCTCCTTCCTTCCACCCTCCTTTCACCAACTCCTGGTGAATACAGATCCAAACCCCCTTGGATCTTAAAACAAGGAGAAATCAATCTGGTTCTTAAAAAAGAAGGCTTTTAATTAAAGAAAAAGGTAAAAATCATCTCTGTAAAATCAGTATGGAGAATAACTTTACAGGGTAATCAAACTTAAAGAGCTCAGAGGACCCCCCTCTGTCTTAGGTTCAAAGTACAGCAAACAAAGATACACACTCTGGTAAAAAGGTACATTTACAAGTTGAGAAAACAAAGTAAATCTAAGACGCCTTGCTGTCTTTTTACTTACTAGTTTGAAATAGGAGAGACTTGTTTAGAAAGATGGGGAGAACCTGGATTGATGTCTGGTCCCTCTCAGTCCCAAGAGCGAACCACCCCTTAAAACAAAGAGCACACACAAAAGCCTTCCCCCCCCCAAGATTTGAAAGTATCTTGCCCCCTTATTGGTCCTTCGGGTCAGGTGTCAGCCAGGTTACCCGAGCCTCTT